CAACAGATTCCACAAAGTAATCAGCCCAGTTCATACCAAAACCACCAGCAACACCCAGATACATGTGATAAAAAAAAGCGGAATAAACCAGGAGAAGCAGCCGCCGGAAGCGAAATGAGCGAGAGCAGCTCGATGCAGCCTTTGCGAAAGAGCTTGTCCCTCACATTCTGAAGTGCACTAAGTTGTCCCCTGTGCAAATGTAGAACAGTTTTTTTACTGCCGCATACACATCAACTCCTCGGCCTAAATCCATAGCTTCCCGGTTTTATAATACAATTTTTGATGACTCTTCTGAAAGAAAAGACATGCGCCAGTGCGTTGCCCAAACAGCATATCCTAAATAAATAAACAGCAGCGCGTACCAGAACAGCCGGTGCGACCATGCGTTTTGTGCAATTCCGTATACCAAACGATTGCTCGTTAATGATTTTCACTGCCTTGCACTTTAGTCTGTGAAAAAAGAGCTGAGACGCTGGAAAATATTTAAAAATTTTACGGACCGACACATGAAAGCTGGGTTTGAAACCTCGAAGGGAGAATATCTTTTCAAAATTTTAATCTTCTAATTTCCTGGCTTTCGAATGACCACTGAGACAGAACTTTCACGTGGTCGTACGTTAGACCTCGGCATACTTAGGAACCGAACTCGAGTATGTGAAGCCCATGCATAGATAGGAAACATACTCTTGAAGTTTTCAACCTCCTAGCACCTCTGTCTCCCGAGATAATGACTTTTCTCGCCAACGGAGAAGTTGGAAATTTACGGAATTGCACGTGGGCAAGGGATCCCACGCCAAAATTTCAGTTTCCTAGATTTCATGGTTCCCGAGATAATAATTTACCCGCAAAAATTCCCATGAGGCCGTAGGTGATACTCGAGAGCACGGGAACGCTGAACTTGAGTTTGTAAGGTACTGTGTGAGCAGGGGGTCATTACCCTAAAATTTCAGGTTCGCAGATTTCGTGATTCCCAAGATAATGATTTGCCCGTCGAAATTTTCACGAGGCCGTTCGTTTTACCCGCTGGCAGGAGAAGGCTGAATTTAAATTTTCCGAGTAGCACGTGGGCAGGGGACATGCCAGCAAAATTTCAGCCTTTTAGCTTCCGTGGTTCCTTTGATAATAAATTTACTCGCCGAAACTTTTACAGGGCCGTACGTGTTACCCGAGGGTACAGGGAGGCTGAATTTAAATTTGCGGGGTCACATGTGGGTGGGGAACGTATCCCAAAATTTCCAGCTTCCTAACTTTTTTCGTTCCCGAGTTGGAAGTTGAGGACAAGTTGCTGCGGACACGCGGACACACATACATACATACACACACACGCGCACATACACACACAGAGATAACCCTGCGACAATAGTGCTTTGTACTGCTGTTACATAGCACAAAACGCATAAAAACTATCAACGAAAATTCCCACATCTTCATACTTAGTGTCTGCAAATTAGCAAAGCCAATTTTTTTCCAAAAATCTTTGGCCATGATTCAAACAATGAGCACCACCATACCGAGTAACTTATTCCTTTTTTAAGCAGGAATATTGCAGAAAGAACCAATAAGTAACAAGCCTGAAAAGGGTATCCACCGGGATGGTACCAAACCAAATTTTGAGATTCGTCCTGAAGTTTGAACCCGTGAGGTCGACACGAGCAAGATCACCTTCACCATACAACTCCATGCCACTGACAACTGGTACTGGAGTTACCGGCTCACGTACTGGTCCCATTGCTTCATAAAAACGATATTCTGCCTTCAAATGAAAATAATGACTAACAAATCTATTGGAATAACAATATGCCGCACCAACAGAAGCACATCAGTACCTATTCGGCTCAAAAAATTACCAAGACTGAATCGAGAGCAATTAATCCTAACTGAAAAGCAGTATGGAATACTTTCGCAGAGGAGCGATTTCATTCCTGTTTGAAAACGGTCTAGGACTTCTGGCAAGCCCACAAGACGCCGTTCAGCATTTGTCCAGTTATATGGGGCGGGATGAATTCCCGAGAAACTTGCCTTCTCAGTGGAAATAATTGTCCATGATGCACCATCACTAATCTGATGTCGATTCTCGTCCACCGGCACCGCCTAAAAACAATCGAATCACCTTTCGACGAGAACTGTCCAAATCAGACACAAACACGAGAAAATAATATTGAAATCAGGTAACAGAAAATTCATCAGAAATCCATCACACAAGGAACACTGATCATTACTTAATTCGAAGTGCTGGCCATGAAAATTACAAACAGCAGATCAGGGAACAGAAAAATATCTTAGATCAGAAAATAAAGGCACTCTCGGCTAAGTGATTTTACAAAATTTTGGAACCAAACCATGATAACAAATACGATTTATAAAGGATTAGGTGAGAAGAGATATGCAGCTCGCGATCGAACGGCGTGACACAGCTGCAGCTGGTTACGAGGGTATACTAGTAACACCACTAACGTACGACTCATAAATTGACTGCCCGAGTGGTTATTTCTGGATTTTAGTTATAAAATGCTCGGTTTTTATGAATTTGAAAATACAAATACTCTTGATTACAACTCGTAGTTCGATCAAAAGAAAACTTTTTCGTATAACAGCCTTGATGAACATATCAATTCACCAACTGCTTAGAAGTAGTTAACACTGAATTTGGGGCTCTTTTAGTACCGGGTGGTAAGAGTGGCCCAAGAAAGATTTTACCCAAACTATCTGAACAACCGATGCGACGCATTTGGGTGCCACTTTAATTCCTCTTGACATGAACTGCAAGCTTTCAAGAAAATTTAGAAGCACCAGAAGCTAAAATACAAAAAAAGAAAAAAAAATATAGAAAAAGCACCAGTTCTTA